TCCAGATCCGGTTGTTTTGTTGTAATCCGTTTTCCCTTGCAAAAAACACTATAAAATGACATTTCTTGTTCTAATATAATCAAATTTCAAGAATCCCTTGCAAAAAATAAGTTAAAGTGGACATTCGCGCGCGCAAGACGAAATCCTTCCAAAAGCTTAGTGTTCGGAGCGATTTTAACATAAAAACATCAAAAAACCAATGGTTTTTCAACAAAAAAATGTCAAAATCACATCCCGCGCGCTCTTGCGGATTCGTAGGAAAACCAACACTTTTTAAACATTTCTGTCAAACGGGCTTTTGCGAGCAACTTTTTCGAACTTCTGCGACAACGGTTGCGCACCTGCCAGGGCCATCATCCCTGTCAAATAATACCATGCGGGACACATTCGTTTTTTCTTCGCGCGCGCACGCCGTCGTCGTCGGCCGCGGGGCCCTGAATAGTAGCCACGGTCGTCCGCATGCCACGAAGTGAAGTGTCCGAACGTCATAGGGCGGGAAGCTGGGTGTGGGTGGTGGCGAAGAGTCGTTTGGAAATTTGGTAGAGCTTGAAACGGCCCCCCCACAAAGTGGGGGTATTGCCCGCCTCCTATGAAAACCCTGGCACTGGTGAGAACGGAGTGTCCCCACGTGCTAGTAATTGTTGTTGTTGTTGTTGTTGTTGTTGTTGTTGTTGTTGTTGTTGTTGTTGAACATTATTAATTCTAAAGAATAATTATTGTTGGGACCCCTGGTGCGCGCCCCCCCGCCGCGCCTAGGCCGCAGCCACATTTTCATCATTTTCGTGAGGAAGTCTCAGGCAAAACGGGGTATACCAGATCCGGTTGTGTTGTTACGATCGGTTTTCCCTTGCAAAAAATAAGGCAAAGTGGACATTTCTTGTTCTAACATGACCAAACTTCAAGAATCCCTTGCAAAAAAATGACACGAAGTGCACATTCGCGCGCGCAAGACGAAATCCTTCCAAAACCTTAGTCTTCGTAGCGATTTTCACATAAAAACATGAAAAACCCAATGGTTTTTCAAAAAAAGGGTTTCAAAAATTCACCCCGCGCGCTCTTGCGGATTTCTTAGGAAACCCACTACTTTTTCAACATTTCTGTCAAACGGGCTCTGGCGAGCAACTTTTTCACGTGCTTCGAACTTCTGCAACAAAGGTTGCGCGCCTGCCAGGGCCATCATCCCTGTCAAATAATACCATGTGGGACACATTCGTTTTTTCTTCGCGCGCGCACGCCGGAATCTTCAAAAATCATTGGGTTTCTTAAGAATTTTAGCACCGCGCAACATAAAATCATACGAATCGCACCGTAGGTTCTCGAAACACATCTGTACGAATTTTCAAAATTTCTACCCGCGCGCGCTGTCCGAATCCTTAAAAACCAATGGTTTTTCAACATTTATGTTTTAGAGCTCGCGCGAGCTGTTTTCGCAAGCTCTTTCAACGGCGTTCGCGCGCCTGCCAGGGGCCACAATCCCTTGCAAAAAATATCATGCGGGACACATGCGCGCGTCGTCGCGTCGTCGTTGTCGGCATGGTACCACAACAAGTCAGTGTGTCACCACGTCATCGAACAAAATCACTGATCACTGTCACATCCGTAGCCATCTCGGATCAAGGTATCGCCTGTGTTCTTGGATGGGTCATGGCTTTGTCGGCGAAAGCCCTTGACGAGCAGTATGGCCCAGAGCTGTCGCGGCCTCCCTTGGCCGACTGCGGCAGCCCGTTTTATTTGCATCAGGCGCTCGTTGCAAAGGGTATCCAGGTCAGTCACCAGGCGTGCAAGGTTTGGTGGGTCAGGTATCTGGTTGTGCCTGGCAAGGTCAGTATTTCTAGCGCCAAGGAGCTGGAGGAGCAGCACGGCTCTGCCATCCGCCATCTGGGCATCGAGTATAATACAGCTTTCAAATTATGTGGGGCGCTCCGACGGTTGGATCCACCACTGTATGTGTCAAATCCGGTCGCAACGGCGTGGCTACTGCAGTATTCTTCCAAAGAGACGCTTGTCATAGTGCAGATCGCTGGCCATTTGGAGACCTGGTATGGAGAACGTATTCGCACAGACATGCCCGAGGGGACTACTGACGGGGCCGTCTTGAAGCAGTGGCTCCTGGGACATTTATCGCTCTGCCATCCGCC